CGCAATAACTCGAGAGAACCTTTCCTCTTAATTTCATCAAACATCAGAATATCCTGAACTTTGAAAGCAAATAACATTTCATAACAATCTTTCATAAAAATCTTGTAATATCACTAATAACACTTTCAAAATCTTCGCGAAATAAATAAACGAATATTTCAATAAATTCAAAATATTGTTTGCTTATTTAACTTCGAAATATCTAGATTTGTATTGAGACTCTCGATTGAAAGAAAAATTCTCAGCTATTTACTGACAGATCTATTTAAACACGTCTCATTACCATTATGATATTGAACTGTGAGCGGTCGGCATCGAGAAATCTTCACAAATTGTTACGACTATGCTTCGCTATGACTTTCGAAATGAAGTTGAACAATTTGTTTGAAACGATGTCAATACCTAGTCAAAGTTGATTGATAAACTTTGAATCTGAAGCCCATTCGAGTTGAAATCGCTTAAAAAATGAAACCTCAACATTGAGTTTACAGTGACTTGTCAATTATTAAATTGATTCAAACTCCAAGTTGTTTGCAAGCCCAATGTTCACTTGGCTGGATTAAACTTGAATCTCTTAACCCAACTGTTAAAACACAGAAACCAAGCTCATCGTGCGTTTGACACATTAAATGAACCATGTCTCAACAGAATCAGTTATAAACACTTCAACACATTGACCGACAAGAAACAAAATTCAGAAACAATTGACGAAATCGAAAAATTGCTCATCAAGTTAAACAAATGCTCGAAATCGACTATTGATCATGAAAATAGCGATTCAACTTTTGACAACTTCATTTGAATATCATCATGGAACAAAAAACCGTAATCATTCTCTTGATTCTTTGCATCGAAAAAAATTAACATTTATTCTTGTCTTTTTCCCTTGTTCCCCTCCTTCTCATGGTAACATCACATCATCAACTTGGTGTAACGAATTAACCAAAAACTTAACACGCAACACCAACTAACACCATGATCCACTTTAAATCCTTATTTAACACGGAACAATTGATGAACAATTGAACACCAACCAAACTGTTTCAAAACGTCATTT